TGCCCAGAGCCGCTCCGGAGCTCCCCGCGGGCTCGGCATTCCCGGCGGTGATGGGGCAGGATTTGTTTCCTGGATTATGGCGAGAAGAGCCGGTGATGCCGTAGCAGTGACAGAGGTTTGGTCACGTTCTAATGAATAGCGTTGCAGCTCAGAACGTTTCGTGGTCCCGGCTGAAGGCGCAGCTCCCTCCGAGAGGCTCCGCTGGTGCCCGGGCTGTCCCTGAGTGTCGCCGTGTGTCCCCACAGGGCAGGAGCGCATCGGGAAGGACTCGCACTACGAGCAGGAGGGGAAGGTGCAGTTTGTGATCGACGCCGTGTACGCCATGGCCCACGCCCTGCACCACATGAACCGCGACCTGTGCGCCGACAGCGCCGGGCTGTGCCCCGAGATGGAGCACGCGGGGGGCAAGCGGCTGCTCAAGTACATCCGCAGCGTCAACTTCAACGGTGAGACACGGCCCCGTCCCCTAGTGACCCCCCTTGTCACCCACTGACATCCCTCGGTCACCTACTGACACCCCAGTGACCCACTGACACCCCCTGGTCACCTACGGACCCCCCTGTCACCTACTGGCCACCTGTGTCACCTACTGACATCCCTTGGTCACCTACTGTCCCCCCTTGGTCACCTACTGACCCAACCCTGTCCCCTGCTGACCCCCCTGTCCCCTGCTGACCCCCCTGTGACCTACTGACCCCCCCTGTCCCCTGCTGACCCCCATGGAGCTGGCCAGGGGTGCTCTGGGGCAGGTCCCTGCTCCCCGGGGCTCCAGGGGAGGTGGGGCAGTGGGAGCTCGGTGCAGCTGTGTGTGACAGGAGCAGCGTGGCCTGTTCTGCTGCTCTGTGTCCCCAGCCCCAGAGCTGGCCATTGTCCTGCTGGGGAGCAGCTGGGACCATGCTGCTTGTCCTGCCCTGGGCTGGGACCACCCTGCTGGCCCTGCTTTGGGGCCTTGCCCTCCTTGCAGAGGTGCTGCCGTCAATGCAGCCAGGCTGTGATGGGGAGGCTGGATGTGAGTGAGGAGCTCAGTGTGTATTTTGTGACCGTGTCCTGGAGGACAAAAGGCCCAAAATGTGGAAGATTTTAAACCTGAAGTGCTCGCACAGTGAAATTCTGGAAGTTTTGAAGTGCAGCTGTGTTTTGGCAGTGAAAAGCTGGAGATGCTGTTGATGGGAGCCCCTTGGGTGCCCAAAGTGGCATGAACGTGCCCTGGGTACCAAACACCCTGGCTGGTGACACCTGTGTAACTCCTGTCCTCCTCTCCATAATTCATTCCTCATCTTGCAGTGATTAAGAGATCGAAACCCTGCAAATTCAGTCAGATTGTGTCTGGGTTTGAGGGCTTCCTGCAGGTGTCAAGTGCCCTGTGTCTGTGTGGGGAGAAGGCAGCTCCTTTGTTGGGAACTGAATTAAATTGTCACAGCTCTGCATGAGCAAGAAGCTGCAGCCTGGAGACTGACACAGGTTCTGAACTGCTTAGTGGGCTCAGCAAAATCTGGGAAATCTTAACAGAAAGAAAATAAATCCTCAATGATCAAAACCCAGGGAAATTATGACATGTTTTAATGATTGGAAGATCAAGGGTTATTTCTGAAATGCCTGTTTCCTCTCTGCGATGAGGTTTTCATACATCACTTTTTATTAATTTCATTATGCCATGAAAGGAGCCTGAGCTGAGGCTGGAACGCTGCAGTGATGCAAACCAGGACTGACAGACCCTGCAGCCAGGTGGCACAGAAAGGGCTCCAGAGCCTCACCCAGGGTTAAGGAGGGCTGGCCCCTGCTGAGCAGAGCCTTGGCTGGAGCCCAATTACTGCAGCTTCAAAGGCAGGAGAGGGACACTTCTGCCTGCCCCTGCCCCGGGGTCAGCAGAGCTTCCCTCTCCCAGCTGCTCCGTGGATCCCAACCCTCCCCAGCCTGGCTGGCTTACTTCACACAGACCCTGCAAGCAGCGTTGGCTCCTGCCTGCCCCATCCAGGGCATGGGTGAGCTCTCTGCTGGGGCTGAGCCTTGGGGGTCTCTGCAGGGACCCCACAGTGCTGTGCTGCCCTGCTGGGGCTGTGCCTTGGGGGTCTCTGCTGGGGCTGTGCCTTGGGGGTCTCTGCAGGGACCCCACAGTGCTGTGCTGCCCTGCTGGGGCTGTGCCTTGGGGGTCTCTGCAGGGACCCCACAGTGCTCTGCTGCCCTGCTGGAGCCAGGGGCATCCCCAGTCCCTCTCAGTGGCTGTGCTGGGGGTTTGGGGTGCTGCTCCCCCGGAGGTGGCTGCAGTGAGTTCTTGGCTGTGTCCCCCAAGGGTTGTTCCCAGCACTGGCTTTGGGGTGGCTGTGGCGGTGGTGTCCATCCTCCATGGAAGGCAGCAGCCCTAGACCTTCCTGGGTGTGCCTGTTGCATTTTGGGAGCTCACCTGAGCTCCCACCGTTCCAGGTGTCCCTTTCTTGTGAGCTGTGACAAAGCTGAGCCTAACCCACCCTAAGCAGCCCTAAGAGTCGTGATCAGCCAAATCCCATTGAGCACTTTGCTGGCTTTGCTGAGGAGCCAAGGAATTACAGCCATTGCTTCTGATTGACTCTAAGTGTTTCCACTCCAATGTATTCTGGCTGCATGAATCTGTAATGACAATTAAATATCTGCCTGGTGCTCACAAGGATCCAGCGAGGAGAGATTTCAGTGGGAGATTTCTGTACCAGCCTTTGAACTGAATTTGTATCTGATCTCAGAGGATTGTAGGAGAGACAGGAAACAATTTACCAGGGCTAGAATGGAGACTATGCTAATTCACTCCTTCAAATATTTTTTTCACTCCCTGGAATTCAATGAAGAATGGGAATCATGAAGAAACCGATAATCTTAAAGTTCAATGCTACAACAGGAGAGATTTTTCATTGCTTTAGGGAAAAAAAGTTACGCAGGAGGAGGAAGCTTTGAATATAGATATGCTGGAGGATTGTCATAATCTTCAATCTTGACACAATATTACTCTACCCTCCCGAAACCTATTTTAATATGTCTGGAAATAAATGTCACCCTGGAAGGTTGTTCCTGGAGCTCTGAGGAAACGAGGCACTGCTCTGAGTTCTCCTCTTGGGAAGGTTCCCAGCCAGTGCTGTGGGGATTAAAATAAATGCAGGTGTCCTGCTGAGAGCTCACCTGAGGTCGGGCTCAGGGGTCAGGGCAGCACCAGGAAGGGCTGGGGCTCTCTCACCCTGCACTTGCCCGTGTTTGTCACTGGAGTACATGGTAAAGAAAGTTAATTCAGGGTAGGGTCCTGCTCTGGGTCTGCCCAGGACATTCCCGTGGGAGTGCCACAGAGCCCGGATAAGGGAGTGCACAGGGAGTGCTCTTCCTGAACAAGGGAGTGCACAAGGAATGCTCTTCCTGAATAAGGGAGTGCACAAGGAGTGCTCTTCCTGAACAAGGGAGTGCACAAGGAATGCTCTTCCCAGGAAAGGAAGTGCACAAGGAATGCTCTTCCTGAACAAGGGAGTGCACAAGGAATGCTCTTCCTGGATAAGGGAGTGCACAAGGAATGCTCTTCCTGAATAAGGGAGTGCACAAGGAATGCTCTTCCTGAATAAGGGAGTGCACAAGGAATGCTCTTCCCAGGAAAGGAAGTGCACAAGGAATGCTCTTCCTGAACAAGGGAGTGCATAAGGAGTGCTCTTCCCAAGGCTGCTCTGTCCTCTCCCAACTCCCATGACAGGAATGGAGAACATTGTGGAGGAGGATGCCAGTACCTATTTCTGGTATTTCCTATTTTAGTACCTATTTCTGGATGCTAATTTCCTATTTTAGTACCTACTTCTGGATGCTGGTCAAGACTCACCAGACCCGGGCTGGCTTCTGACACAGCATCTCTGGGAAGCAGCTGGGCCATTTTCTGGAGGGGGAAAGCAGCATTTAGGGGGTCATTCACAGCAGTGGTTTCACTGGAGGACTCCCTGAGGACAGGGAGATGGGAGGCAGGCTGCAGGGCAGGAAGAAAAGCCTCCTGTGTTTGTGGTGATGGGCAGAGCAGGGTGAGGCAAGGCTGACCTGGGCTGGCTGTGTTTGTTCCCAGGCAGCAGGGCAGGGCAGGGCAGGGATGGTGGGACTGTGGGGTTCCATCCCCATCTGTGGGATGGATCTGTGACAGGCTGGCTGGTGGCAGTGTCCTGAGGGTCTGCTCTGGGTGCTGTGGGATGGATGGCCTCGGCCTGGAACGTGTGTCCAGTGTGAAAGCTCATATGAAAGACTGGCTAAAGATTTGGTGCTGGCTGGTTGGATTTTGTCTTGTTTCCTTCCCCCAGGCAGTGCTGGCACTCCAGTGATGTTCAACAAGAACGGGGACGCCCCGGGGCGCTACGACATCTTCCAGTTCCACAGCAGCAACACCAGCACGCCCGGCTACCGCCTGGTGGGCCAGTGGACAGACGACCTGCAGCTCAACGTGAGTCCCCTGTGCTGGTAACACCATTGTGTGGAGACACGAGGCTTGACTCCATTTTCAGAAAGCTGGTTTATTATATTATGATATCTATTATATTAAAATACTGCATTAAAACTATACTAAAAGAACAGAGAGAAAAGATTGATCAGAAGGCTGCAAAGAACAAGAATAGAATGCAGAACAAAATCTTGTGACTCTCAGAGTCCGATGCAGCTGCGTCTGTGGTTGGCCATTAATCAGAAACAACCAACATGCACCAGTCCCAGCTGCACCTGTTGCATTGCACAGCAGCAGACAGTTATTGTTTGCATTTCTCTCCTGAGGCCCTCAGCTCCTCAGGAGGGAAAAATCCTAGCAAAGGATTTTTCATAAAATGTCATAGCTACACCCCTGCTCCCCTGGCCATGGGCACTCGGGGCCTCAGCCAGCAGGGATCTCTGCTGCTTCCTCACAGCCCCACAGTGCAGGTTTGGCACTTGTCTCCCTCTCCTCTGTCCTGCAGCTTCTCCCCGTAGCCAGAGAGCCAAAGCTCCTCAGACTAGCAGGGACACGAGGTGCTCATGCAAATTTTATTACTGCTGAGTGTCTGCAGGCCCTGGTTGCCAGCTGGGGAAATGAAGCTGTGATTTGGTGTAGTTTGAAACCGCTGGGCTTTCGCTTGCAGATGCTTTTTGGTTTTTCTGGTCTTTGGAAAGCTGGAACGAAATGTTTTCGGAGTGAGTCACTCTTCCAGTGGTGTTTTGAATCCGTGTGGGTGAGGTGCCCTTTCTGGGATGATGCCTAAAGGAAAACTGGCACACAGGAGCAGGTGCTCAAACACACTTTGATGTTTCCCAGAAAAATCCCCCAGCACCGGTGGGTGGCACAGCTGGAGAGCGTGTCAGCCTGAGCCCTCCGGGCCCGGCCTGGCCCTGCCCGGGCCCGGGATCCCTGCTGGCTTTGTGCACTGGGCCTCGGCTTCCCGGTGCCAGCCTCACCTCCTGCCTGGCTCCCTGGGGAGTTACCAGCACCCAGAGACACGGACTGCAGCTCCCCGGGGCCCTGCAGCCACACGGCCTGAGGAGGGTGGAGGTGCTCCTGGGTATCGGTGGGAGCAGCCTTTCCTCCCTCAGCCGGCCTTCCCTTCCCGGCCCAGGAGCGTCGGCAACCCTCGCTGTGCGGTGGCTGCTCTCTGCCTCTGCTGCCAGAGGGCCTCTGGGAGGGTGACAGGACAGGCTGTGTGACACAGAGGCGGCCAGGACACACTGGGGTGACCCAGAGGTGACCCCGGGGTGACACAGGAGGTGGCACAGGGGTGACCCAGGGGTAGCCCCACAGTGACCCAGGGGGTGGCACAGAAGGTGACCCAGGAAGTGACCCAGGGGTGACCCCACAGTGACCCCATGGTGGCACAGGAGGTGACCCAGGAGGTGACCCAGGAGGTGACCCCGGGGTGACATAGGGTGACCCCACAGTGACCCAGGGGTGCCCCCACAGTGACCCAGAGGTGACCACACAGTGACCCCACAGTGACCCCTGGGGTGACCCAGGAGGTGACCCCACGGTGACCCAGGGGTGACCCACAGTGACCCCACAGGGACCCCATGGTGACACAGGAGGTGGCACAGAAAGTGACCCAGAGGTGACCCCACAGTGACCCCACAGTGACCCAGGGGTGCCCCCACAGTGACCCAGGGGTGACCCAGAGGTGACCCCATAGTGACCCCTGGGGCGACACAGGAGGTGACACAGAAGGTGACCCAGGGATGACCCCATGGTGACCCAGGAGGTGACACAGAAGGTGACCCAGGGGGTGACCCCACAGTGACCCAGGGGTGACACAGAAGGTGGCCCAGGAGGTGACCCCAGGGTGACATAGGGTGACCCTACAGTGACCCAGAGGTGACCCCATGGTGACACAGGAGGTGGCACAGAAGGTGACCCCACAGTGGCCCAGGGGGTGCTCCAGCCCGGACTCTCTCTGGACCCAGTGTCACACACTGCACTTGGGGCTGGCCCTGTGGCCTGTGGGGACACTGGGGCTCCCCCAGCCCTCCGTGCCTGGGACACAGCCCTGGGCTGCCCTCAGGGGTCACAGCCGTGCCCTGGCATGGAACCAAAGGCCCCACACTTTCTATTTTTAATGTTCTCCTGGTTTTTGTTAAATCAAGGAAATGATGTGGGTCACCGAGGGTCCACTCTTGGAGGCTGATCACACACAGTATTTCACTCTCCTTGAATTTTGGCTCATTTTTATTTTCTGTGTTTGATTTGCTCTTTCAGTGCTTTTCGAATTTTGATGTTCTATATAAGGAAACCTCTATTAACTTGCAATTTACAGTTCTTTTAGCAAAAAATATTAATATTTTATTAAGCAAATCCTTCTTTATGTAAACTGCACATCCTGACCCATTAAAATTTAAAGCGAAATTAATGGAGCTTGATTTGTATTCCTGTTGTTGTGTTAAATGTTTCCATAAATAGACCTCTTTCCTCACCCTTGTAGCCTCATGGCCACAGGGTCATATCAGTAGTTGAGATTCTCTCCCTGACTTCCCTTCTAATCACTCAAGTGTCCCAGTTTCTCTCACAAATATGTATCTAAGAGAGTCCCTTTTGTATTATTGGATTATTTCTTACAATAATAAGGACAATTGTGGAGTCTAGAGAAGTCAAGGATTCCTGGAAATAACCAAAATAAATTCCATTAAATGCATCCCAGGGAAAGCTACCAGAGGATGTGATTTGTCCCCAGTAATTATTGCAGCAATAACTCTTCAGGGGATGTTTCCCCAGTTCTTATTTCTCAAATACATCACAAGAGGGGGGAGCCAGGGGTGCTGGGTGCTTTGAGGAGGGCAGCTCTGCCGTAGTGCTTTGTGTCCCAGGGGAATCCTGGTCACTCCTGGGTGTCTGCCTTTCCCTGGGAATGGGGAGAGCTCTGCACAGCCTCAAAGGTAAGGACCCAGCAGACCCAGGGACAGGAGGGCAGCAGCTGCAGGACACCAGCTAGGTGAGTCAGTATTTTCTTCTTTGTCGTCATCCTCATTCCAGGAAGGAGCAGAAATGTTTCACTGTGGATTCCTCTGGCAGGCTGCTGCTGTGCAGTCTCTTGTGGGTGCCTTCAACAAAGGTCATTTCCCATTCCTGGTACTTTTTGGGGCATGGTGGCCACAGGGTGGATTAATCTGGATTAATCTGGAGAGCTGAACCTGATCTTTGCATGTTAGATTGCAGAGTAACTTCTGTTTCAGTTTTCTCTCTCTTGCTTGTGTTAGCAGACAGACTGAGGAGAGCTGTAGCAACTTCCTTGGGACTCCTCAATTCTGCTCTGTGTTCTTATTGTTGATAAACCTGGCTTTGTGAATTACCTGGGGCTGTCTGGATCTCAGGTCACATAACAAAACATTTGATGACTTTTCACTGCATCAAACTTGGGACATCACAACTGATGTGAGGGCAGTGCCATCACCCTCTTTTCCTTTCCTGCTTGGCAGCAGTCAGCCCAAGCTTTGCCCAGCACCCAGTGCAGGGGCAGTGCCAGTTTTGGCTGTGTGTCAGGTGTCCATGCAAGGATGAAATGAGCAGATGTCTGATTTTAAAGGCCTTGGCCAGCATTCCATGCCAAGCACTGCAGTGCTGTGTTCTCCCTGCAGCAAGGGTGTGGAGCTGAGTGCCCACCCATCTCCCACCCTGGGGCAGGGAAGGCGAGGTCCCCTCCTCTCCTTGGTGAGGGCTGTGCCAGCTCTGCCCCCCTCCTCCCTGGCAGGCAGATTTGGGCTGCAGGGGTTGTGGTTCACATCCTGCTGCCCTGATTTCAGGCTCAGAGCTTGGCCAGCTGCATCCCTGCTGCAGCCCCGTGACCCCTGGGAGTGGGAGGAGAGGTACAGCTCATGCACTCAGGCTGGAGAGAGATGCTCTGGCACGGGAGGGCTGGGCTTTAACCCAGGCCTGGGGCTCTGGGGGGCTGCACCCGTGCCCCAGGGCAGCTGCAGCCTTACCAGAGCTGCTTGGACTGCCTGGAGCTTTGATGTTTCAAACCCAGAGGTGCTGCTGGTGAAGAGGAGCCAGTCTGCTCTGGGCAGGATGAGGAGTGTTGTGGAGCAGCTGGCTTTTGGCTGGTTTGCCTTTCCAATGGCTCCTTTCGGTTGTTCTTAGGCTGGGTTTTCCTTTGCACCCAAGGCTTGTGTGGTTCCAGCAGCAGGGAATGGGGAGGATGGCTGAGGGCAGCGTGGCCAGGAGACAGGTCCTGCCCCCACGTGGAGCTCCTTGTGCCTCTCTGTGGATCCCAGAGGAGGAATGAACCCCTCTGTGCCCTGCTGTGCCCCATCTCAGCTCGGGAGGTGTCCTTGCTCTGTGAGCTGTTAGTAGGGCAGCCTCTGGGGCTGCTGGAGAAGGGCACTGGAGGAATGTGAGGAGCTGCCTGAGCAGCTCCCATACGTTGCTGGCTCCTAAAAATGCAGCTTCTTATGCTTGGAGGTGCCTGACACAAACACAAACACATCTCTCCTGGAGGAACTGATGTGCCTGAAGGAGGAAGAAATGGATAGCTCCTAGAGGAAGCACAGGTTCTCCTGGGAAATTTGGTGATATTGCTTCTCTTTCTCCAGGCACAGTTAACTCAGCAGGTCCCAGGTTTGTTATGCTTCCCCATCTCATTCCCTGTGCAAGTATCCCAGAACTGTCAAAATCAATAGGTAAAGGAAACATTCCCTGTGAAATTGTTGTTTCCAGGTGTTGGCCTTGTGCTGAGGCTGCAGAGACCTGCCCGTGGACACGAGCTGCTCCTGGGATCCGTGGGGTGCTGGGATCTGCCTGGTGGGCTGGAGGTGCTGGCTGGACCCCACAGGGCAGCTCTGCCTGGGGAGGGCTCCTGGCCCTGTTCTGTGTGGGGGCACCCAGCCGAGCTGTGGGGTCCCTTTGTCCTTCCCCAGCTCCACACGGGCAGGACACTGCCCTGTCCTTCACCCTCACCTTGGGGCCCTGAGGGGCTGTGGGGTCACCTTGGCCATCCCTCCCCA